TGTACTGTGTCCGCAGTCTCTGGTCATCTCCTGTACTGTCCCCAGTCTCTGGTCATCCCCTGTACTGTGTCCACAGTCTCTGGTCATCCCCTGTACTGTGTCTGCAGTCCATTGGTTCAGAATATTTTTTTTCTTGTGTTTCTCCTCTAAAACCTAGGTGCGTCTTATGGAGTGAAAAATACGGTAATTGCATTATATTGCTGTGTGACTAATATATTTAAAGTAGATGTAAACACAATTACTAAATTCTCCCAAAAGGTTTAATATATTAAAAGAAATTAAAAAGTAATTTTCATTATATTTAAATCTGCATCTTTTATTAAATACGTAAGGCTTTGTGATCCCGCCATGAAGTTGTTTAAGCATTTCCTGTTTTAGGGTGACAAAGCTTTGCCCCCGCTTCCTACAACATTGTAATTGTGCTCCCGCATTGTCACCCTGCCATGTAAGTTTGGAAATGAAGACTACAAGCGGCTGTTTCACCACACATTACCCAGACATGGTCCATCATTGTCACCATCAGGAAATCCACCCAAAGAAATGCCATACAGCCATCATTGGTATACCATCCAGCCTCCCTCAAGACTGCTTTTGTATTAGAACAGAACCCTCCAGTTTTGCAGTTCTTGTACATTTCCCACCATAGGAATGAAGAGGAGGACACTGAAACTGTCCACTATAGAGAATACGTGTCTGCTGAGCAAATCCACCCATCCATTCATGCAGGTTTCCTCCCATTGACCACCAATGCCCAGGCATTTTTTCCTCCCATCAACACCAGGTCACTTTTTTCTCGTTCACAAGGTATTTTTTACACCAATGTAGGATTTTTCACCATTTACTGACCAGCAATGTAGGGGTCTTATTATCTTTCTACCCCCAACCCCTTCATTCTACTTGCTATACAAGGAGGAATTGGAGCAGGAAACTTGTGTGATTGATATAAATGGTGACCTCCACACCATACATCCTGTACATTCCATCCTCCTAACCTCACTATTCTGTAAGTTGGGTTTACATCTACTTTTATATGCCAAGTGACTATGAAGCTGCCAACAAGCTGGGATACATCCCCGATACTAAGCGATGATTTTACATTGATACATTGTGCTAAATAATTGTACTTATATTAAATAATGAGCTAAAGAAATACATCCCAATCCAGGTGCCCATTAAAGTGGACCTAAACTTAACCACTTCATACCAGACACTTTCACCCCCTTCCTGCCCAGGACAATCTTCACCTTTCAGCTCTATCACATTTTGAATGACAATTGTGCGGTCATTCAACACTGTGCCCATATGAACTTTTAATCTTTTTTTTTCATTTAAATAGAGTTTTTCTTTTAGTGGTAATTAATTGCCACTTGTTTTTTTTTTTTTTTACTGTTTGATAAATAAATAAAAAAGAACAATAATTTTTGGGGAAAAAAAAAAAAGCATTTTTCTTCATTTCTGCTATAAAATTTAGCAAATAAATAATTTTTCTTCATAAATTTAGGCCAAAATGTATTCTGCTCCATTTCTTTGGTAAAAAAGTAACCCGAGTCAGTGTATATTATTTAGTCTGTGTGAAAGTTGTAGAATCTACAAACTATGGGATATATATTTGGAAATAGATCAACCCTGATATACTGACGGCCAATCTCATTTTTTGAAGTCAAAACAGTAAAAATACCCCCAAGCTGACCCCTTTTGGGAAAGTAGATGGTCTGAGGTATTTAGTAAGAGGCATGATGAGTTTTTTAAAGTTGTAATTTCTTGTCACAATTTTTTTGGAAAACTAAAAAACTTTTTTGTTTTTTTTCACATTGTTTTTTACATACTGTCACCAGTGCAGTGCAGCATCATCATAACACACTGGTGTGTGTGGTGATCAGGGACACTGACTGGTGACCGTATGTAATATAAAATATATATATTTTTTCATTTTTTTTTATTTACATTTCTTTTTTTCATTACTTTTTTTTTTACAACTTTTTTTTTTATTTTTTGACATGCGTGAATTACCTTGGTGACACTGTACTACTCTGGAGAGATTATCAGGATTTTGTTTACACAGTAACACTGATAATAACTGTTATAAGCATGTGTACTTTTGTGAAGATGTGATTGGCCACATCTATCACATGTTACAGATGCACTGTGATTGGCATGTCTGTACCATGTGATCACTGTGACCAATCACAGAGATCAATACAATAGCATACAATGAATGGCTTTCAAAGGAAGCCATTCATTGTGTACAATCGCCATTTGATCTGCTGTGATTGGTCACAATGATCACATGGGACCGGCGTCGGCCCAGTACACTGATTTGTCATCTGCTGTGTCTGCAGTGGGCGATTGATTGCACACAGTGTGGCCTGTCGGGTGTACATGCAAGGTGTAATGCTAGGAGGACATCATATGAAGACCACCCAGGATGGCGGCACTCCCGCTCGGTTGTCATTCTATTATAGGCTGGAAGGGAAGTCTTTAAAAATAACAAGCCGGAAAAGACATTTACAGGAATCTCAGCTCCCCTCGCAGGTTGTTATAACAGTCAATATTATGTTCATAAACAGTGAAAATCTGGTGATAATTAGTGATAACACTTTTCACGGCTTTTCTTGGTGATAAGTTCCTAGTGAGATGTTTAATAAACTATGATAATGCAGATGCCGAGCTAAAAACAGGGAATATCTCTTTCCTTCTCTTCACCATGAATTCTCAGTGATAAGTACACAGACAATAACAGGAATGGATTTGTTTAATAAATGGAGAAAGACACAGAAGTGCCTTATCACCATGGTAAATACGGAGAAAGGCCTCCTAAATTTATAACAAGTCAGACTCAGGGGAATATTTATAAGAAATTTTCTGTGCGACTGTGCCAATCATCACATCAATCACACAGTCATCACAAATAATTTGTGTAGTTTGTTTAAAATGTTTATTTCCTATGATGATAAGCTCCATCTAGTGGCCATAATGAGGTATTTTCCTGTAAAACCTCAATTAGGATGTTCCATATTATGACCACTAGATGGAGCTGATCATCATAGGAAATAAAAATATTAGATACATTATGGGGATTATTCATGATGGCTGTGCGGAGGATTGTCACATCACACATTTTTTTTTTATTAAAAATAGACTCCTTAGTGAACATTTTTTGTGAACTAGTGGGAAAAGAGCAAAGATGTTTCTATTTTACACATTATCAGGCATAACTGCAGGGTCTCTCATACTGTAAATCATCCAATAGGGAGCTATGCAGCATGTAGCTCAGTGATTTAGGTGATCATGAACTGGCCCTCAGGGGGAATTGATAATCACCTAAAGGATTCTTTTTGGTGCACAGATGCATCAGGAAAGACGCACAACACATTCAGTTTTGTAAGAAGATTTCTTTTTTTTTACATTTGCAACTGCCGCACCAAATTCCTTTAGAGCCGTTCATACCTCGGCCCCGGCCTCCAACCCTTCAGGTAGTGTGAGTGACGTCATCATGCCGCCCACTGAGCAGTGCAATGAGCTGGAAAATATTCACCTAGCAATTCACACACCCGGCTCTTCCAGGAGGAACACGGACATCACTCACACCTCCAGGAAACATCAGAAGCCGGGGCCAAGGTAGTATATACGGTATTTTTTAAAAACTTAATTTTTAATAAGGGGAGTAAAGTGGACCCTAAGCTATTACAGATCTTAGTGACATGTACACTATATTGCCAAAAGTATTGGACCACCTACCTTTCCATGCACTTGAACTTTAATAGCATCCCAGTCTTATTCCGTAGGGTTCAATATTGAGTTGGCCCCGCCCTTTGCAGCTATAACAGCTTAAACTCTTCTGGGAAGGCCATCCACAAGGTTTAGGAGGGTGTCTATGGGAAGGTTGCACCATTCTTCCAGAAGCACATTTGTGAGGTCAGGCACTGATGTCGGGGGAGGAGGCCTGGCTCGCAGTCTCCACTCTCATTCATCCTAAAGGTGTTCTATGGGGTTGAGGTCAGGACTCTGTGCAGGCCAGTCAAGTTCCTCCACTACAAACTTGCTCATCCATGTCTTTACGGACCATACTCTGTGCACTGGTGTGCAGGCATGTTAGAACAGGAAGGGGTCATCCCCAAGCTCTTACCACAAAGTTGGGAGCATGAAATTGTCCAAAATGTCTTGGTATGCTGACGCCTTAAGAGTTCCCTTCTTTGGAACTTAAGGGCCAAGCCCAACCCCTGAAGAAGAATGCCACACCATAACCCCCCCTCCACCAAACTTTACACTTGGCACAATGCAGTCAGGTAAGCACCATTCCCTGGCAACCACCAAACCCAGACACATCCTTCATACTGCCAGACAGAGAAGCATGATTGGTCACGTCAGAGAACACGTCTCCACAGCCTCTAGAGTCCAGTGGAGGTGTGATTTACACCACAGTATCTGACGCTTTGCATTGCACTTGGGGATGGAAGGCTTGGATGCAGCTGCTCGGCCATGGAAACCCATTCCATGAAGCTCTCTATGCACTGTTGTTGGACTAATCTGAAGGCCAGCTGGCGACTTCTGTGCACTGTGCGCCTCAGCATGCGCTGACTCAGCTCTGTCATTCTACGTGGCCTACCACTTGATGGCTGAGTTGCTGTTGTTCCCAGTTGCTTCCACTTTGTTATAATCCCACTAACAGTTGAGCGTGGAATATTTAGCAGCCAGGAAATGTCACGGATGGACTTATTGCACAGGTGGCAACCTATCACGGGACCACGCTTGGAGTCACTGAGCTCCTGAGAACGACCCATTCTTTCACCAATGTCTGTAGAAGCAGTTTGCATGCCTAGGGGCTTGATTTTTACACCTGTGTCCATGGAGGGGATTGGAACATCTAAACCCAATGGTTTGGAGGGCTGGCCCAATACGTTTGGCAATATAGTGTATGTTATTTGAACATTTATTCAGGAACATTACAGTGAGAGGAGCTGTGTTAAAATAACACATCCAGTCTTATTGGGATGAGTGGATTAGGTCTCCTCTGGTCCTCTCTGGTTGCTGCTCCTTGTGTTTAAGGGTAGACTTTGTACTGGAGGGTGATAATCTTTCTTATAGCGCAGCAAGCTGTAGACGTGTCTCTGACAATCGGAGGATGCAAAGTAATAGATAAGAGGATCCAGACAACAGTTGATGCTGCTGATACTAGAAGAGAGGATGTAGGGAATATAAAGAGAGCCACTATAACTCTGATACAACTTTACATAGTTGATTAAAGAGATGACATTGGTGGGGCCAAAACAAAGGACAAACACACTCAGCACAACCACGGAGAGGCGGACAGATCGTGATCTCTTATGTGTTCGATCAAATTTTGATCTGCTGAGACTGCGGATGATTCTAATGTAACAGAAAGTTGTAAAGAGTAATGGTAAGAAAAAGAAAAGTGGGATAAGAGAGATGAAATAAATAAAATAGAAATCCAGAAAAAACATATTGTACTGAACTTCATGACAGAGTATTGTATCTGGAACATAAATCATGAATGATTGTTCTATTATGAGAAGAGGCACAGTGCTGGCCAATGACATAACCCAGATGACACCACACACCAGCCAGGCTCGGGTCACTGTGCGCCAGGAGAGAGACCGCACCGGGTAGACTACGGCCAGGAAACGGTCCACGCTGATACTTGTCATGAGCAGGACGGAGCAGTATGTGTTACAGTAAAATGCTGCCGTGACAAAGCGACACATTCCTTCTCCGAAGATCCAGTTATTTTCTAAGAATCTGTAGACAATATAAAAAGGCAAGACGCTAACAAGCAACGTATCTGCTATGGCGAGGTTCAGCATGTAGACCACTGCCGGCTTCCTGACCTTCATCTTCACCAGGAATATGACTATCGCCATGATATTGAGAGGAAGAGCCACAAGGAACACAACAGTATAGATTGACGGGACAAGCCTGGTTAAACTCCAATGTGTGAATGAAGTACTTAATATCCGAATGAATTTATATAAATAATCTGGAAAGAAAACATCAAATATTAGCATTAATAAATGAACAAGATACATTTAACTTTTCTTTAAAACAGTATAAAACCCCAAACCAATAATGTAATAAACTGCCGCTTACCAATCAACAGATGTGAAAGAAGCTAAAGAGATCTCACAGCCAGTAAATAATAAATCAAAGTGCATAAAATGTGTAAATTAATGATTCCTGTGAATTTGGCTGCTGCAGATTAAAACAAATGCTATATAATCAAAACACTGAGTACAAAAGGTAATTTCATAAATAAACCGCACTGCTCTAAACCTACATACACAAAATATAACACATGACCATGATAAACATGTTATAGTGATACAAAATAACATTAAAACAAAATATTCATATAACCAGTGAATAGATTCAAGTTCAAAAGTTCCAGATGAAAAGGTACTCGTGCAGGTATAGATAAAGCAAGTACTTCACTGCTCAGTGCCTCCAGTGTTCCCATACAGACAGACACCCACCACAAGTTGTTGACCTTCTATTGCTAGCCAGGTCAGTAGTGCTTGTGTTTGGGGATATACCTCTAAGTCTTCAATGGATTGTTCCTACGGGTCCTTCTCAGATGGTGTACCGTCATGCATGCAAACAAAATACGAGGGAGGGTCTCATAGCGTAAAACCTCAATAATTTTACTGAAACACACAGAAGTATTAAAAAAAATTCACACTCTCATTTGTAGGTGCCTATAAAAACCTGCGCTGGGTATGCATGACTTGCATAGGGTGGTAAGGATGACCATAGCTGTACATGTGTAAGTAACCAGCCTGTGCTCCAACAGGAGGATGTGATGTCGCCGGAAGCGACATCAGTGCGTAGACCACGCCTCAACAGGTTTCATCCTGATTGTACATCTTCAGAAAGACGTCCAATGTCGACAAAACCAGTCGAGGTGTGATCTACGTGCTGACGTCACTTATGGCGATCTCACATCCTCCTGCTGGAGCACACGCTGGTTTCTTACACATGAGATAAGAACATGTGTCAGTTATAATGGGCAATAATCCACAGAGCATTGTATCTGAAAGTCCATATTCTGAACAGTAGGAACACGTAACATCCAGAGAACCATCAAACTTTCTATGTTCTCCAAAAAGGAACATGAATACATTGTACAGTTCTCATAGAATGTCTCAATGAGGGGACTCTGCATTATCTTACAATCTATGAACTTGTGGGAGGATTTATAAAGGGAGTTCAGCTTTAAGAATAAAGGAATACTTTTGAGTGTTTAGGAGAGTAACATACAGTATATGGACACATGACTTACAAATATGCAGCCCACTGGAAAGCATTCAGAGCAAAGGCGGGACATTATCCAAATAAAATGGACTCTGTATGGCCTTATAGTGAGCACTTCATCATCTTCTGAAAGGAACAATGAGGACAACACAAATAGTAGAGAACATTTCACTATATTTTATGATATTAATTGCTCCTTTTTATGTAGCATTTTTCTTGTTTATATATGTAGCACTACCCCCTTAGGAGTCACTGAAAAAATTGAGTCCTCTATAGTCCTGCACAGCCAGGCATCATACATCCTCACCAAGACTTGCATCCAGAGTCAGAAATCAGTCCATGAGCTTTGGTTTTGTTGTTCTATTTAGGGATGAACTGGAATGGGGTTAGGGGTGTACAGGATGCCCAAGGGTACTGATAAACTGAGGACAACTTCCTGGAACTAATTACAAGCCTTCTCTGCAGCACAGTCTTTGCTGAGGAGTTAGCCTATGTCTCCTTAGATGAACTTCTCTTCATCCAGCAATCTGGAGGTATCCCTGAACAGGGGATCCAGTTCCTGTCACTTTAAGAGGTAAACAGTAACTGGTAGGTGGGTAATCTGGCTTCTACGTCTTCCCCTACATGCCCAGGGGGTGTAGGTGTACTCACTCAGATCCTCTCCTGTACCGCACTCGGGTTGGTGGCTACTACAAGGCCTTTTAGCTGGGCTGTTACTTCCCTGCCATACAGGTGGTCCTCTCTCAGTGGTCCAGTGAGCTTGGAGCTTTCCTCCTTTGCAGCCCCAGGCCTGCAGTTAGGCCCAATCCCACTGGCCCTGCTTGCAGACTCTTTCCTTCAGCCTCATATCTTCCTCCTTCCTACTATCTTTCACACAAACTCTCTTGCCACTGAGCAGGCTCCAACACTTTTTAAGGATGTACTGGCCCCTTTCCAACCTCCTGTTGGGAATTTTCCAGGATCCCTCAAGAGTGCAGCCAGCCACTCCTTAGATCCACCCACTGCCTCTAGGGCCTTCCTCCAAACCCCTAGAGCAGGGGGAAATTCCAGAGGGTCTGGCCTGCAGAGCCTGTCAGCCCTGATCACAATTTGACCCCACTCTGGCTCTTACACATGGGCTTCTGCTCATCCCCTGTGTAAATGTTGGAGTCTACCTCCCCCTAGCTACCTAGGAGGGTGCTACATATATAATCAGCACAAGTAGTGCCATTTTTTAATTCTACATTTCTTGTTGTCCCCCGAGGCCTAGCCTGTGGCTTGTACAGTAAATACTTTTCTCCTTTTTAGGTTGCTATGTATATTATCTACATGCTCCCCTGGAACATGCTCCTCGAACCCTTCTCTGAACTCTGCATCTACTAATGGCTGGAATCAGACTACCATTCTTCTGCACACATGTGGACTGCATTCCCATATTTGGCCCTACCTGAGGTTCATTCTGTTGCTCTCCAGTGGACCATATATGATTGGGTATGTGTTTAGTTCTAGTATCTTTTTTAACCACTTGCCCTCCTGAGGATTTACCCCCCTTAATGACCAGGCCTCTTTTTGCTACTTGGCACTGTACTATTTCAACTCATAATTGTGCAGTCATGCAATGCTGTACCCAAATATAACTTACGTCCTTTTTTTTTTTTCACATAAATAGAGCTTTCTTTTGGTGGTATTTGATCACCTGTGTGCTTTTTATTTTTAGCGCTATAAAAAAAAAATTTTGAACAAAAAAAAATTAAAAAAAGCAAGATTTTCTCATTTCTGTCATAAAATATCCCAAAAAATTAAATTTTGCTATAAATTTAGGCCAAAATGTATTCTGCTACATGTCTTTGGTTAAAAAAATCCCAATAAGTGTATATTGATTACTTTGTGTGAAAGTTATAGCGTCTACAAACTATGGTATAGATAATGGAATTTACACAGCTTTTACTTTCTGATTGCCCATGCAAAATACTCACCATACTCAAAATACTCACCAAATTCCCTTGGGGTGTCTACTTTCCAAAAAGGGGTCATGGGGGGGGCGCTATCCTTGCATTTCAGGGCCTCCAAAACTGTGATAGGTAGTGAGGAAAAGTAATGAGTAAATAAAGCCCTTTAAAAGCCTGAAGGTGCTTATTGGATTTTGGGGTCCTGTACTTGGCTAGACTGCCAAAAAGTGTCTCACATGTAGTACCCCCATACTTGGGAGAAGTAGCAGAATGTATTGGGGAGTAATTCCACATATAACCATGGCATGTGTGAGCAATAAATCATTTAAGTGACAATTTTGTGTAAAAAAAACATTTTTTTTTTGTCATTTTCCAAAAACTTGTGGTAAAAAAAATAAACTCTTCTATTGACTCAACATGCCTCCCAGCAAATAATTTGGGGTGTCTACTTTCCAAAAAGGGGTCTTTTTTTTTGGGGGGGGGGTGAGGAAGTTTTTTTTTTCAAGGTATTTTGATTTTTTTAATTATTTTTACACTGTCCCTTTCTTTTTTTTTTATCACTTTAATGCTATCTTTTTTCAGAAATCTGGGGTCTATCAGACTCTAGATATCTCCCCTTGCTATAAAACTTGTCCAGTAAAAAAAATTAAAAATCAAATTTCATCATAAATTTAGGTCAAAATGTATTCTGTGACGTCTTTACCTTAAAAAAAAATCCCAATATGTGTAAATGAATTGGTTTACGTGAAAGTTATAGCATCTTCAAAGGGAGGTATACTGTATATACTGGATTTATTTTTTTTTTTTTTTTATATACTTATAATGGTGCCGATCAAAGACTTATGGTGGTGATCAGCAACTAATGGCAGTGATCAGTGACTTATGACAGGACTACGGGACTGCGGCAGACATTCTGACACTGGGGGGAACTGACTTGGGGTCACTGACATCCTCAGTGACACCAATACAGTGATCAGTGCAAAAAAAAAAAAAGCACTGACACTGTCTTAATGGCATTGGGGAGGAAGGGTTTAACATTTGGAGGCAATTAAAGGGTTAACTGTGTGAGGGGAGTGTTTTACTAGGGGGTGGGGGTGTGTGTTTCACTATAAGCACACTGATCGGGGTGACTGTGCTCATCCATCCAGATTAGTGTGCTCAAACTGACAGGGAGGATGGCTGCATTGTAAACAATGCAACCGTTCTCCCCGTCGGTGATCGCTGGTAATCACCGGGCTCCGGCGGTTAATCACCGGCTGGGAACCGGTGATTGACACCCGGGGCAGCGATTGGCGGTGTGGATAGGGCAGTAGTGCACCTTGCACGTGCTCCTACCTGGAAATGCAGGATCACATTTATATATGTAGTCCTGCCACAGTATATGTACTGTGGGAGGTCCCCTAGTGGTTAATATTGCCTTTCACCTGATTTTCCCTGGATGGCAGTCAAAGCACCACCATTTCATTTTTTTCTTGGTATCAACTTTTCCAGATACCCACAAAGCAGAAAGTATATCTGGGTCATTTCATCTTGCCCCCAGCCATGTTCTTTAGAGAAGTTCTCTATGTTTTTAAGTTTAAGTTATGTTTCCTGTTTTTTTTTCTCCTCCTTCTATTTATATCATA